ATTACTTTCGTAATCCCCAACTATTGTATACTATTAATACTGTACTTACTGTTAGTATTAATACTAATAATACGCAGTATTAAACCCCTCTGAGGTAGTACGCGGGAATATCGTACAAACGATGCAGTCGAAACACTTACTTAGCTGCCCCACAACGACAAGGCGACCCCGGACGTAGCATGGCCCAAGCACACCACCGCCATAGCTACAAACACGACCGTGCCCAGCGACCAAGTCGAGAGCCCCTCGACTTCGTACAGCGTCTCGGACACGACAAAGCTAAACGGGTCGGCTTGGAGGCTGGCATACACTCGCGTGGGTACGGTCAGCCTCGTCGTGACATACTGGGCGTTTTTCGTCACTTCAATCCCTAATAAAACCTGCAACACTGTCACATCACGACATTTCAACATGGCTATTACCTTGTCTGGGATGTGGCGGAACACGGCAAAGCCGGCATCATGGGCTTCTAGTCTACGCACATAAATAGACGTAAAACCTCATATTGAGAGAACATCAACAACATGAGCGACAACGTACTCGAGAGTGGTGGCGGGGGTCGTGAGGAGGGGCAAATTTTGCCTCCGAATCCAGTCGGCGTTCAGAAATACCCATTTCAACGCTTGGTTGTGTGCGACAGTGGACGACAGCACCGCAGATGGCTCCCTATCACACAAATGAGATTATATACGATCAGCATAGTTCCCCACAAGCCTCTCCCTGGTGTTTGCCACGACGAATATCGTACCTTGGGGCAAACAGTTTAGAAACCATCGCGGCCCACGCATCCATGATGAGCGATCGATGGTACGGATTCAAGGCCGTGGCTTGCCTTGCCTTGGTCAGTCCAAACTGCCGGCGCAGCGTCGCATGAAGCCAAAACCGCTTGGATTCGGCGCGCAAGAGCGCGTTGATCTTGTGGCATGTCGTGCGCACGCCGAGGAGTTCCTCGGGCGGCAGACATCGCGCGATCTCAAACAACACGTCGTACGGCAACGCGAGCAGGTCCGACTTGTCTTGGACACTACGACACACATACACCACGTCGTCGCAAGTCAACGTCATCTGTTTGTCAAGCCGATATGTGTACGTACTGCCACTGGCCTTGCTGCACCATCGTCTGTTCGTATTCGTGGATCGAACGCACGATGCGATCGTCCACGACACACACGACGATGGCCGTGAACGTGCACAGCTGGATCGCTACGAGCAGGTCGCCGGCCCAGAGGTAGCAGTACGACGCGGACAAGGCCCCCGTGCACAGCAGCAGCTCGCAATAACTTCGCCACGACCAGGACCGGAGGTCGCGGGAGAAGTGGAGCACGCGCTCCTGCACCACCAGCCCCACGTACCGCGTGGGCGCCCACACGACAAATACATCGCCGAGCACGACGAACACGACGCCGCTGGTCGTCGCCAGCACGAACGCCATCTCAATGTTGCGCAGGTGTGTGTAAATCGTGTTGAACGCGACGCATCCGACCAACCCGAGCACGCTGATGATCGGGAACGGCAGGATTTGCTTGTCTACAGTGTCACACATCAATATATATATATATGATATATTGTCAAATCGATTCGAAACTGGAGAATCGTTGAATGTGTTAGGAGAATCGATTAGTGATTGGGGGAGAATCGATTAGTGAACCGCCTGAGCCAATCAAATCACGTGATGTGGAATTTCTTCCAATCCAAACGTTGTTTGACCCCTCCGCATTGGGCAAAACCACATATATACTAATCGTTGTAATGTATAGTGTGTGCAAGGTTAAATAGGATCAAATAGATCCGAAAGCTATTTAGCGAAATGACTCTTCAAGTCCAAATTTAGGTGAATGCACAATAAATGGCCAGCTAGAGATTCCACAAGCATATACCGGAGATGGTGGGGGAATGCGCGAGGAGGTTGGTGCGACGACGAGACTTGAGTTGCTCGCCAATCAGCGTCACGAGCATACCCGACAGCGTGCCGCACTGTACGGCCACAGTCAAATCGCCGTAAATAGCATGGCTGCCATAGATTACCCCGAGAAAGCACCCTGACTCGACAAAACTTCGCACCGGATGTACCTACGTAAAGACCATCGACACGAGCGTGTTTTAGAACCAACATGTATTGTCGATTTGATATACAAATATGGGGAGGGGGTGCAATCGAATCGCGCTGACCAAATCGATTCAGAATCGATCTGATTGGACGAATTTCATTGACTGGGTTTTGATTGGCTAATAATTTTGAGCTCATCTGAAGTATTTTAGATTCGAACGAGAAACCACGCCACAACACGAAATTTCACTCGAAAGCACAATACACACAAAGTCGTCCCTTGGTTTGTGGGTACCATACTGTATTAGCTCCAAATGTCCAAATGTCCATTACGATTGACAATGAAATCGTTGATCCCAGGACGTATATGCAAAGGTGGGCAGTATATATATATATATACATGTATTGTCAAGTCGATTCGAAATTGGGGTGGAGCGCTCAATCAAATAAGCACCATCAAATCGGCAGACAATCGATATACGACCAATCCAAAACCAGAACACGAATCAAATGGCCAATCAAATTATCCACTCTTCGACCAATTCAACACCGAATTCGTGTGTTACTGAAATTAGTGTGATACTGGTCAGTACAAAGAATAATCGATGGATAGATTTGGCAAATCAGCACAAAAGTCCACATTTTGGGTAAATGGGCAATACCTGCCAGTGTTCGCTCGCATTCAAGAACCGATCTTGGAGGATCACACCGGCCCATCTCGTGGGCTGCCACATGGCCAAGACGTCCGCCACGCACAAAAATACAATGCCGGCTACCGTTGCGAGCACCACCGTCACTTCGAGCCGTCGCAGATGCTCGAAAATCCACTGAAACGTGCCGGCGCCGACATATGCAAACAGAAGCAGCAGCGGCAGCACCTTTGGTCGCTGTTGGTGCACGGACGACTCATCTGGGGGACTGTCGGCACCAGAAGCACCAGATATAGGAAAAGGATGCCACCACCGGCTGCGAAACACTTCGCCGGCTAGGGTCACGACAATGCCAGAGAGCGTCCCCAGGTGCAGCGCGACGACCACGTCCTGATACAAAACAAACGTGCCGTACGTGACACCGAGCCACACAAAGAACTCGAGGAATGACCTGAGCGGCTCGAGCTGCCAGTTCCGGAGGCAATGTGTGACGCGGGTCTGCAGCACGATCCCTGCCGCCCTGGTGGGGGCCCACATGATGCACAATTCACTCGCGGCCACAAACACGACGCCCGATAACGTCGCCAAGCAAAACGCGACTTCGATGCGGTCTGCGATGTGGTAGTAAATGACAAACAAACTCAGACCCACGGCATACGTCAAGAGCACCGCCATGAACGCAAGCACGGCCACCGTGGATTGATCGGATGACGGCACCGACGAGGTCGCCGCGGTCAAGACGAACCGCCCACGCACGACCCAGTGACTCCCGCCCATGACAGTGGCCAGCGACGTCGCCGCTAGCAACACGGACGTCGACCATGACCCCGAGGTCGCATAGGTCCCCACCAGCACCCCCACACACACGACAGCTTGCACAAACACTTGTACGGGATGCAATACGAATTGCTGGGTCACAACCAGCACCAGCACACGCCGAAACAGACGGAATTTTGGATGCGTCGAGCATGTGAGGACGCCGATCAAGACGCCACTGCACGACGCAAGCAAGACGGAAATAGCCAAGACGGCGCTGACGCCGGACAGCCGATGGAGAAGACTGTAGCCGTACCGCCACCCCGCCACCGGCATGATGATCCCGGCCACGCAAACGTTGATCAACGTTGATGCGCGTATCCCATGCGACAAGTTATGCTGTCGGGGGCCAGGTTCGTGTTGGTCGTGCCCTTGCTCCACTGACAACTCGTCTGGAACGTCCCATATTAAGTGCCGAGTGGTCGAGTCGGATATGGTGCACGACATGGCGCGATGTAAATCCACTTGGATTTTCCACGACGTCGCATATTCCACCGAGTAGACAGCATCCCAGATCGCCGGCCCAAGCAGTTGCATGTACACGAGCGCAATGTCAAACATGAGCGTCGCCACTGAATGAGCCCAGCGCGGGAGATGTGTGGTCGTGGGCGTAGCTCTGAGCAGCACGACGAAACACACATGCGCGAGCACTACCAAACTTGTACGAAGGGGTTGAAGTGTGCTGTGGCGGGGTAACGATACCATTTGGCTCCATACAACGCTCAGACGACAGGTTCTGGACACGACAGCCAAGAGAGTCAGGTCCAACAGCGACGGGACCACGACCGATGTCAGCATGTCGCTATGTCCAACGAACACGAACGCGACGACGAGGCGACCGACGTAGTACAGCATGAACGCCGCCAATGACAGCAGCGGCAATACTTTGATCCAGTGGTCGTCACGAGGTACCATAGTGGGAGCATTCAACTCATCAAACGAGTTGCCGCGCAACGTTGGGTACACGACGTACTCGCCACACAAGACAAAGCACGTACAGATGACCGTGCCAAGCTGCAGCGACAGCACCATGTTGTCGGTGTAATCGTTGACGATGACTGCGACCCCACACACAAACGCGACTTCGGCCATCGACCGGACCGGATGCACCATCCAGTTGGCTTTGGCATTCACGACGCGGGCTTGCAACACCATGCCGGCGTGCCACGTAGGTTCGTACAGCATCAAGAGCTCGCTCGTCACGATGAGCGACACTCCCATCAACACGCTCAGGAGGTACTGCCACGCCATGCGCTTCTGGCCATCGTCGTCGTCGTCCACGCTCGTGGTGGACGGAATTAAACTGTACACGAGCCGAACCACGCCTAGCACCATGTACCCCAAGGACACGGTCGTGATGGCGTACTGCAGCCGCCACGGAGACGCCGCGTTTTCGTCGTGATGCTGCCGCCGTTGAAATTCGCTGTGGATGCGCACGTACACGACAAAGAAGTCGCCCACTGCCACGACCCAAATCCCAGAGATGCCGCCGACTAGCACCGCGACGACCGGTTTGCGATACATGACGTATGTGCCCAACACGATGGCCACCCACGTGCAGATTTCGATGAGCGGTCGCATGTACCCATCGTCCAAGGGATGATGGATGGAAGGGGATGTCATTGAAAGGTGAAACAGTCGCGACCACAGCTTGAAACCAAAGTCAGCCGTTGTGGGAACGTGCATCAACAGCCACGACAAGCATGCGTACAGCAAGGCACTGGCCACCACGACCACGGCTGCGGTACAGCACTGGTCGACGAGTCGAGTCGTTGCAATCGACGACACTGCGGTCAACGAAGACACCCACAAGATGACAAACCAACATGCGAGCAGAAAACATGTGCAGACAAACATGTACATGTACCATGGCCAGGATTGGCGCGTGGTAGTGGCATCCCAAGTCCAGGACGTGGACGGGCGTAAGGTGGCGGGGGTTGTAATGGAGCCACGTGGACGTGGAGACACATTTGTGCTGGCAAATGTCATGAACACTTCACCCAGCGCTGTGGTCTCTGGAATGTGTTGGTTTCGATATGAACTGGATACGGCAGGATCGTCGTCGTCGTCGTCGTCGTCGTCGTCGCTGTGCGGTGATGATGCATTCCACGTTGTATCATCTTCATGCGTAGCATATCCATGCTGTCTTCGGCGAATCATACAATCTACATGGACATTAACATCACAATCCACCCTTCGTCATGATGATCGTCGGTCGTACTTGTCAGTCCTTTCCGCGCAGTGTTCGGGAGAGTTTTAAGCCTCATCCGGTTAAGGCTTCAAATTTCCGGATATATAGAAAATATTTCACAAATTGGCCATACCGGGATGTTCCCACACGGGAGAGTGAAGTCCAATGGCTATGGCTAGTATGTACTTTGTGTAGGTAACGTTACCACTCGCATATTTGCCAAACTATGAAGTGGTAACTATGTGCACTGGTTCGAAACGGTGAGGGAATCAAGTATCACGTGATAGAATTTATTTCTAGCATAATTAAAAAAAGTGAATGTGTGGTATTTCCGGATCCGGTAAGTCTATCCGTATATCCAATACCATTGGTCAAGCACTTAGAAATCCCCCGACCAGAGATGAGCTCTCCTCCACCTCCCACGGCCGCCATTGCTGGCCTCGCCCCCCTTGAGTCCATTCGCGCTGTCCCCGAGCACGAAAAGGGGTATTACCTACCTAACGACGCGGAAGCAGAACCAACGCCGCAAGATCCTGTGTCTCCTTCGGACTCACATTCGAAGAAACGTAAACTTGACGACGAAGGCACGAGCGACGTTGTCCCACCCGCAGCCCCACATGTAGCCCCGCACGTAGCCCCGACTGTAGCCCCGCCTGTAGCCTCGCCTGTTTCGGCCAACGTCCCTTCGTACCAAACGTACATCCCCACCGAAGATGACGTCGCTGAGGGAAAAGCTATTGCGCGCCTTCTTAGCCCCTTCACGCGTGAACAAATCGTGTCGATCCTAATCAGCGCGTACGTGTCCTTCCCCCACATGTTCCCGCTGAGGTTCTAACAAATGTCCCGATAGAGCATTGCAACACAAGAGCATCTACAACGAGATCCGCACGATGGCCAGCGTCGACGTGGCGCATCGCAAACTGTTTGTGCGTGGGTTGTCTTGGGACACGACGTCGGCGAGCCTTCAAGGAGTGTTTGAAACGTACGGCAAAGTCACCGAATGCACGGTCATCATGGATCGCACCACGGGCAGATCGAAAGGATTTGGGTTTGTGACGTTTGAAGACATGGACTCTGCCGAGAAGGTGCTGTCCATTCAACCGCTCGACGTTGACGGCCGCAAGTGCTCTTGCAACCTCGCTGCGGTCCCTGAGAACAACACGAACGCGGCCCTGGCTATCAAGCATCATATCAAGACCACGCCGCAATCCACGTACGGCGCGCATCCGTACCAGCAACAGCAGCCGACATATGGCTACACCCCGACGCCGCATGCCCCCCACGGCCACCACGGGGGCGGCAAGGTGTTGTACGCTGACTTGGGGCCCGGTGGCGACGAGAACGACCGCAAGCTCTTCCTTCGCGGGTTGGACTACAACACCTCCACGGAGAGTGTCACGGCCGAGTTCGCCAAGTATGGCGATTTGGAAGAAGTCACGATTGCCAAGGATCGCACCACTGGCAAAAGCAAAGGGTTTGCGTTCATTACGTACCGCCATATGGGCAGTGCCAAGCGTGCGTTGGCCCAGCCTCAAAAGTTCATCGACGTACGACCCCCCCATCCCCCCCATCATTCTCATTCGACGGACCCCCCATCCCTCTTCTCATGTGTATGACGTTGGTTTTTGGTTAGGGCCGCGCCACGCATTGCAACCTGGCGTCGCTCAAGCAAGCATACGCGCCTCCCCAATACGGCCACCAACATCAAGTCGCAGCCCCCGCGCCCCAGGTCTACCGACCTCCCACGGTGGCGGCGGCGGCACCCCAAGCCGCGATGGGGTACCCTCCTCAAGTGTACCAACAGCCACCTGCAGCTGCGCCCTACTTGGCCTACGCGCCCCCGGCGGCCGCGCCGTACGCCCAGCCCCCGCCCCAGGACATGTACCGCATGATGGCGCAGTATGCCCAACAGCAGCCAATGCAGGCCCCCCAGGCGCCCCCGGCGCCACTTGCGTACTACCACCACCCCCGAGGGCCCAATGCGGCGGCGAAACCACAATAAGTGTTTGAAGGGGGTTCTAGTAGTCGTCGTCGTCCCTGTGGAATGATGTTGATTGCTACAATGATATTGGTACATGCATGGGATTAACGAGTGCACATATATACCTACTTTTCCATGAACCTGTCCGTCGTATATCTTGGTCGTTCGTTCACAACAATGTATGGTTGCTCACGTATCCTCGAAAACGGATTGTGCTGCTTGGACTATCGTACTTCGTGGTTGCCTTGTCGCATGTGCACAGAGATATATTCATAGTCACCGTGTACCCGTGTGGTTGGGATGCCACGAAAAATTCAAGTAAAAGTACCGAGTTGGCATCCCGTGATTCTATAATGTGGTTAGTATATACTACTACCGTATATGGAGCAACGCACGGCTCGACTGGGCGGGTCCAGTGCTAGTACTGTATGACTATGGTGTCGAAGCCTCCTTCTTTCGAGATCTCTACTTTGAGGCCTCCTTGTTGCTGCTATTCTTGGATGCGATTGCAGTCTTGTATTCCACCGCGGCGGGCAAAGCACAGCTGAGGTCATTGCACAGTTGACCAATACTGACACGACGACTGGTGTCTGCGTAGCGCAACTAGAAGAAGCGTCAAACAGTTAGCTTCCACCTGGCGTCTGCACGAGGTACTGATACTCCTCGATATCTCTATCATGTATGTATGTATTACTTGATCGAAGAAGAGCAAGCCGGACACGCCTTCGATGTACTCGATGGGCCGAACGAACGTGGTAAGGTTGGTGTGGTCGGGAATCGCTTGATTGGGCAAGACAAACCCCGCCGCCAAGTACGCGTTGCTGTGTGTCGATGGCTTTTGCACCAACACGACCTTGAAGAAGTGCGTGGGCACGGCAATGGCGGTAGGAGGGGACCCCACAACGGGGTACTGGACTTCGTACGAGTCGCCTTGGGGCGTGCGCTATATGCAGCATATCAAGTGCATAATGAACCACGAGTTATATCATTGTCAAATCGATTCGGAACTGGAATGTCTTAAGAGGTAGTACTGGTTAAAGTGCCGCCTAAGCCAATCAAATCGCGTTCTGGTAACATTTCTACCAATCCAAACGTTTGACTCGGTCGTCGGTCGTCCAGTCCCTTGTTTTTGTATGGTATAGTTTGTACAAGCTTAAATATTGGATCACATGGATTCGAATGCTAATTGGCGGAAGGAAAAGTCCAAATTTGGGTGAAATGCCCAATATCTGTGGCGGTAGTATGTGCCAGGGTTGTAGTACATAGTAGCAATGGATACAGTGGTCGTACCGCTGGAAGGAACAACGGGCCTGTTACAACGTACACGCCGCCGTAATGCGTTGCCAGGTGGCGCACAAACCCTTCAAAGCGGGACCAGTACCCCCGGTTGAATCCTTTACCCACCTAAGCAAGACGATTGGATGCAACCAACAATATGAACTTGCAATCAATGCATGCATGCACGGACGCACCTGGGGCGAGATGTTTGTCATGAGAAAGCTCGCGTTCACCGACTCTTGGCTGGACGACATATCGCCTGTACACACCATGTTTGAGCTGACGGCTCGAATATAGGGACGAAGATGTACGTACGGGCTGGAGCCAAGTGGCCTCGGTCGTAGCCGCTGTTTAGGTAGTCGGCTGGCGACACGCGAAACAGGTCCGGTGTGGACATGTCTGCCTTGAACGACGCCTTGACCCGATTCACGTCGTCTGCTTTCTTGAGCGAATCGGGAGTGATGTACTCGGCCACCCATGCGGCATTACGCAAGCTAACAAACGAACGAGCCATGGTCAAAACAGAAGTTGTGATGCAAAATGATGTCTACAAATCGAAACGGAAGGGGAACTACCGTCGATTATAGCCGAGGACGTAGCCGTCGCGGACCTTGACGTTGCACGTTGAAGGGTAACCGAACCGGGTGGCTTCGTGTGGAGGCAAGGTACTGCTAGTGTCTTGTGGAGGCAGCGATGGCGATCCGTCCGGAGGCGATCGGCGAAGGTTATCCTCCTCGTACAAGGCCAAGAGCGTGCCCATGGAACCCACCGCCACCCCAAAGGAGAAGACGAGGCTAGAGAAAGGACGTTACCACATGCAGTCAGCCTTCCTCATTTTATCGTACCGCAACTGCTTGGTGCTTTGGGCCCGACGCATGACGCTTGTCGAGTTGATTTGACAATTGACAATGAGATTTATCCGGTATCCGGATAATGGCAATCGACGGACGATTTCAAGATCAATATCAACACAATGGAGGAGTGTCGGGCATGCGTAGGCACATTCCTTCCGTACGAGTTAGCCTAGATTGCCTTACTTGTCATGCATAGGCGCACAATGACATAGAAGCGGACATGCGTGCCAAGCTGCTTCTGCATGAGCTCAAGCTTACCGTGTCAACGTAAGATAGTCTGTGTGATGGCATTGACTGTAGGGTTCACATGTAGAGAGGCCGAGGACCGCAAGTCTATCAACTTCAAAGCAGTAAGTTCATGTCCACAACCACATATGAATGCTACATATCCATGCGTACAAGATGGCTAGATCGTTAGTGGCGGTCGTTCGCACCCAGCATCATGTCGACACAACCGCCCCGTCGGTAAGTTATCAACTCGCCTCGTGGTAGCTCACATGTCGTCGCCGTAGGATGTTCCATTCGGACTAACATCAGAGACCGTTCGTGATACGTGGGGCTTGAACGACACGGAACAGATGAGCATGATGAAAGAAGCCATGCGGGTGCGTCCTCCACATTGTCCCATCCAATCACTTGATTACGACCAGGTCTTGCTACCACCCGAGGTCGAGGCTGGACTTCGAGCCAAATGCGAGCTTCTCTGCGATACATTTTACCCGTTGAACAGTCACACGCCGTTGCCAGCATCCCAACTGCATCGCCTTCCGCAGGAGCTGGCTGTACAGTGTCACTGGCTTCATGCATACAAATGAGCATTGTCGGTGTATGTATACATTTAGGCGTTTCAAGCGGACGTGACTGCGATGGAAGCAAAGCGCGACGTGCTCGAAGCGGCGGTCGAAGGCGGACTCGAAGAGCATATTCGATTACTCACCGACATGACCAAGCATATTGTTTCCATGATCAAGTACTACAGGCTGGACGACGTGACCATCTACTCGCGGTTGAAAATGGAGTTTGTCCAGGTACGTTCGTTGCTTTGTTGCTTTCGAACGAGGTCCCGACTTTATTCGTGTGGTCGTAGTCGTGCGTAGCAGCCATGCAAAAACAGATCGAACTCTTGACCACGCAATTGCTCTTGCAAACGTACCCGCCGCATAAACTCCGCTCGTTGGCGCAGTTGAGGTCGTCGCCTTCTCCAGCCATCCACATCATAGACGACTGATAATTGTAGACTGCATTTGGACCAACGCTATCGCATGGCCTCACAGCGTAATTGGGAGGTTAGGCGACAGAATCCCATCAAAAGCTGACCACACTATATTCGACTTACTCGTAGATGCGGAAGGAACTCGACAAGTATCGTACATCCACAAGCAAGGACTTGAGATTGCTTCACGAACGTATCGCGACTGCTCAGGCCAAATTGAACCTCGGCGCCCGTCACAACATACCACTCCACCCAAGCCAACATGAAGTTGATAACTAGTTTTGTGCACGAAGCGTCGCCCGTCATGTGCTTTGGAAGGACAGCGTACATACTAGCATTCGAGGAATTGTCGTTTTACCCAAAATCTGGCCTTTTGTGCCGATTTGCCAAATCCATCGATTATTCTTTGACTTTTGTGTGTAAAATTCGCCTATTGTCACACTAATTTAAGTCACACACTGATTCGATGTTGGATTGTCGAAGAGTGGATTTGATTGGCTACATGACTATTGATCTGGGTTTTGATTGGTCGATGGATTGTCTGCCGATTTGGTTCGAATCGACTTGACAATAAATAGAAACATACCAAGTTACAGTAGTATGATCACCTCGGCAGTATCTTCCCAATGAAAATGCTATCTATGTACTACGTAGTACGTAATAGTACTGTAGTGTGTCCATCGATATAAGAGCAGCTCGACGAACGCTAACAAGTCCTTCTGCTGGTGCTCTGCTATCTTCGAAGTACAACTCACACTAGCTAACAAGCCCATGCAGCCGACATGTGAGACGACGGCCCAAGGGGCTGGATGATACTAGTATGTGATGAATACTAGAGGACCTAACTAAAACTTCGAAGTAACATTGTTATAACACAACGCAACAAGTCCATGGGAAGGATATTTGATGGAGTGATGAATACTACCGGCTGGATGATACTAGTATGTGATGAATACTAGGACCTAACTAAAACTTCGAAGTAACATAGTTATAACACAACGCAACAAGTCCAAGGGTACGTTGATGAAATTATAATTAAAGGCGCTCGCGAATTCTCTAAACTTCCGCCTTCTTCTTGAACGCAAACGCAGCGGCGCCAATGATGCCAGAGTCGTACCCCACCGACGCCTTTTCAATGCGGACCTGTCACATACCACCATGATGAGTAACACCGATCTTCTAACGTTACAGAAGTATACGCATCCACATACCGGGTTGGGTAGCTTGGTCCACGTGTACTTGGTGTACGCATCGCGAATGGCTTGGATGAAATACTCGCCGTTTTCAGCGAGCCCGCCCGAGAGTACAATGAGCTACGTTGAATAGTCGTCGATCAATCAATGCCAGCTAGACAGTCATGAGCTTAGACTGTACTGTACCTCTGGGTCCAAGATACGGCAAAAGTTGACGCAGGCAAACCCCAAGTAGTCTGCCGCCTAGACGCGATCATCGCATGAGTTGTGTATGAAGCCAAAGAGGGTCAGATCGAATCTATCGTCGTACCTCGGCAATGAGCTCCTTGGCAACAGAGTCGCCAGTGGCCGCCGTTTCAAACACTTGTTTGGCCGTGATCTCGTCAATCTTGAGATCCGACAGCTTCGTGTTCAGCGCTACTCGTGGCGTGTGTCACTAACACCCACAGACGACCGGGATCTACACTTGGCACTCACATTTGTCGGTGGCTTTGAGCTTGGCTTGTTGAATCAACGCCGTGGCCGAACTGTAGCGCTCCAAGCACCCTTTTTGAGTGCAGCCACAAGCACGGCCGTTGGGCACGACAATCTATGTCGAATTACAAAGTGAACAAAATCGCATGAAATAGCTCGACACCAATTCTTACCACGTGCCCGCCTTCAATCATGCCGGTGCCACCAGCCAAGATGGCGTTGTCGTTGACGACGCCAAACCCGATGCCAGTGCCAAGGGCTACATCAGTCGACCGTTAGCCCACCATGGCATACTAGTAGGAGGGAGGGAGACGACGAAGGAACGTACTGAGCATGATAAAGTTCTTGACTTTGGACGCGGTGCCGACCCAGTGCTCGGCGGCGACGGCGGCGTCGGCATCGTTGACGAGGGTGCACGGAATGTGCAGGCTTTCGTTCAACAAACGCTCGAGCGCCACGTCCTTCCACGTTTCAAAGTTGGCGGCGGCCACGAGCACGCCGTTGGAGGCTTGGCCGGGGCAGCCCACGCCCAGACCGGCAATGTGGGACCACGAGATGCCGGCTTCTTCGACGCATTCTTTGACAATCGCGATGCACAGACCGACAACGACGTCGGACGACCGATCGTCCTCGATCTTGCGCTGGTTGCGGGAGAGGAGCACGCCTTCAGACGACACGACGCCACACTTGACGCTAGTGCCGCCGATGTCGACTCCGATGTAATGACGCATGATAGTGATAGGAGCCGGGGAAATGGATAATGACGAGGCTTCACGTGTTGTTGCAATCTCCGAGGGAGTCGCAGGCACAGAGGAGGTGGTCGTAGCCATGGAGCGACTTGCTGGTGCTTTTATGTGTCCCTCCGTCCACAAATGTTTTACGTCGGTTGAAGTTTGAATATGAAAGTCATAATATGCGGTTTGACAGGGTTTTCGAGCTAGAATTACCTTAATGCATAAGTGTACCGTAGGTATTGTCTACTTTTAGTGGGTAATCCAGTGAAATGAACGAATTCAATTACACAGGAAGTGCAAACCCGTGACATCTTATATACCCCGTGAACTGAACACAAAAATACACCAGGTGGCACCACCACGCACAAACCATGCAAGTGCCAGTGATGCTAAGTTCAAGTCGCGTATGGACCACGAGGGAGAGCCCGGTTCTTTAGCGCAATGCTGTTCCTTTTAGTGTTGGTTTCTGGAGTAGGAACACGTACTGTAATTGCACACTTGCAGTTGGTGGAAAGTGGATTTGCGACGGCAATCACCTTTCAGCAGCTGGATTGTCGCAGGTGGCATCATGTGCTTTGTACTGAACGTTGTATGGTAGCCACATTGAAGCTACGCCATTTGTACGGTCATATCATCAATGCTCCAAAGTTCAACCGCAGGCGCAGCCATCCGCAAACATCTCAAAAGTGCTTTGGCATGGGGATGATCGGGGGTCGGACGTCCAAAGTCATCGGTACGTTACCGTGAATTTGCACGACAAGAACTAACAGTGAATGATATATGTCGCCAGGATTCAGGATACAGGACGATTTTTTTTCATTTCAACTCACAGACGACAAGACACACTGGAACTAGCGAGCCTAGCTACATACTGACTGTAGCTTCGTGGTGACTACTTTAGTTGGTTTTGTTGGCCTTGAACGCGAACGCGGCAGCACCAATGATGCCGCAGTCGTAGCCCACGGAGGCCTTTTCAATGATGACCTGCAACAGTCACGACAGACACCATGAGCGATCAAGCACTGGTGTGGGGAGTTTCTATCATACCGGGTTGGGCAGTTTCGTCCATGTGTATTTGGTGTAGGCGTCGCGAATTTGCTGAATGAACGCCTCGCCAGCTTCAGCCAGGCCGCCGGACAAGACAATCATCTCAGGGTCCAACGTACGGCAAAAGTTGACGCATGCAAAGCCCAAGTACTCGGCCACTTCTTCAATGATGGCCTTGGACACTTGATCCCCGGCATCGGCGGCGTCAAACACGTCCTTGGCGGTGATGCTGTCTACCTTCAATTGCGAAAGCGACGTCGTCAACGCTAGACGAATAATGCATGGTGAGCATCTGGTTGTTGGAGCATGTGAAGAAGAGAGTGAAGCGGTCGTACTGGGGTCGACAGCCTTGAGCTTGGCTTGGTCAATCACGGCCGATGCGGAACTGTATCGTTCAAGGCATCCCTTTTGGGTGCACCCACAGGCACGGCCGTTGGGCACAACAATCTAACCACAAGCCAGTCAGTTTGCCCCCTATTTTTTCTTGCAATGAATGGTGAGAGCACATCTTACCACATGGCCCCCTTCAATCATGCCCGTGCCACCGGCCACAATCTTGTCGTCGTTCACAACACCGAAACCAACACCCGTGCCCAACGCTACATACCATAGCAGCCAGCGATCAATAAACAATGTAATCCACACGGTTGTGCTGGTGTGGAACGTACTGAGCATGACAAAGTTCTTTACGTTCGAGGCAGTGCCCACCCAGTGTTCCGCGGCCACGGCGGCGTCGGCGTCGTTGACCAAGACGGAAGGCACATGCAGACGTTCGTGTAACATGAGCTCGAGTGGTACGTGGTCCCATGTGGCAAAGTTGGCGGCTGCGACCAGTACCCCGTTGGACACTTGGCCGGGGCACCCCACACCCAAACCAGCAATGTCGGTCCATTCCACGTTGGCTTCCGTGGCGCATTGCCGGGCCAAGTTGACGGCGATGCCGACGATCGCTTCGGGCGATCGGTCTTCGATGTCTTGTTGGCTGCGAGCCAACATAACCCCGGCGGACGACACAATGCCGACCTTCACGCTGGTTCCACCAATGTCCACACCCACAAAGTTCATGTTTCAATAAAGACGCTAAATAGAGAATGATGTCACCAACAGCCGTCGGCAAACATTATCACAACTTCGTCCTTCGCAGCTCCTCGCCTTGAACTCACGGCCTTGACAACGTGGCCGTGGTCATTATCCCACTATCTCGAGCCAATTCTGGCAAGGTGGGGTGGGCCCCTATAATAACGTGAGTCGATGCCAACACTTACTGAAGTATATATATCTAAGGTTGAATTGGGTAGGGGGGGCGACAAAAAACACAAACGACGGACATCCATCCAAGGAAGAATCCCTCGGACTGGATACTATTAATTGTGACAGGTTTTGAAGGCAGTTCGTGCAATCTACAAGTTTGTATGCAGAGGTTGAGGCACCACCTGGTCCACAAGACTTCAACATGGTGCCAGTATCTTGCAAGGCATTCCGTTTGATTGGCTAAAAAGATACCACCATTTTCAGAGTGCTTAAAATGAAAATGAGTCCCTTGATCAGGTGTACCAAGCCTACCAGTAATACCACTGAGGATTCAGCATTTTCAGCGAGTTCAGTAGATGGGCTAACAGACGATGCAAAGTTCATGTCATTTGGATCCAGCGATCATTGCAGTCCTGGGAGTCTTCCAGCGATGCGATTAATAAAACATTTTAACCAATCAAAGTTCAACAACACCTTCAAGAATGTCGCGCACTGGCAAAGCGTCCAAGAGCCACTGAAAGGAAGTGGCTCCTTCAACTGGTCATGCTGTACACGGGGACTTGGTGCAACATGCACACGTTGAGAACCAAGACTGGAACATCCATCCATTAAGCGTACATAACGCAGGAATCTTGGCAGTGTTAGTGCAAACTCGGTCAAAGATTCCTACTGTTGGACAGCTACGTTCAAAAGATCTGACTTCATTCTATAGCGGCGGCCAATCAAGTGTCCAACGCGATAGCAAGCTCTACGTCATAGACGAGTAAACTTCCACGTGTACATTTTACGATGTCTATCTCGGTGGCATTGGAGGAGGATGACATTTGAGAATTGTGAATTGTTGGGCCGTTCCAACGACGAGGAACCAATCAAATGTGTGCATTCTTGCATCCAGTCAAAAGCTGTCAAAATTGGTGCCAGGTTTCAGCGCCGTCGTCGTCCAGCTTCATCCTCATGGCGACCAAACGAAAGCTCGAGGACACGTCCGTCCATGTAGACGGCGAGCACGATGATGCCGCCGCGATGGACGCAGCCGAATGGCGTGACGTGCACTTAATCTCCACCACCAGCAGTGGTAATGACGTCGTCGCGCTGCCCGACCCCCTCCGCACGTTCCAGTCGACTCCGTTTTCGGCAGCGGTGGTCGCCGCACTCGAACACGCCGGGTTCACGGCACCTTCGCCCACGCAAGCTCAATCTTGGCCCGTGGCGCTCTCCAAGAAGGATTTGATTTCGATCGCCAAGACAGGCTCGGGCAAGACGCTCGGGTTCCTTCTGCCGTCGTTCCACCACTTGGCCAAAGCCACCCGCGTCCAACAGACACGCACCAAAGCCAAACACAAGTACGCGTTCCCAGTGCGGTCCAAAGATCCTCGCATGGTGGTTCTGGTGCCGACGCGGGAGCTGGCCATGCAGATCGAGAAGGAGGCCAAGCGTTTCCTCAAGGCATTCCATCCGGCGCTGCGAGCCGTCGCGGTATTTGGCGGCGCCGAGAAGAAGGCGCAATTGGAAGCGCTCGAGATGGGCGTCGACTGCTGTGTGGCAACCCCGGGGCGGCTCTTGGACCTCCGGGACTCGGTCAGCTTGGCGAAAGTGGACATTTTAGTGCTAGACGAAGCCGACAAGATGCTCGAGATGGGGTTCGAACGGCAGCTACAAGCGCTGCAAGAGTTGCTGCCGAGCACCACCCGACAGACGTTGCTGTGTAGTGCCACGTGGCCGCTGGTCGTGCAGTCGTTGGCTGCGTCGTTCGTTCGTCCGGACGCGGTGACCGTGATCACGGGCGCGTTTCAAGTGAACCCAGCGATCCGCCAAACGTTCGAGTTGTGCAGCAACGTCGACGCCAAAGCTGAGCAACTCGTGTCGTTTTGTCACAAGCACAAAACGACGAAAACGCTCGTATTTTTCAAAACCAAACAAGGCTGCGACGCCATGGAGAAGTTGGTCAAGCAGCACTTGACTGCTGGGGACGACGACCAGAAGCGGCACAAGGCGGCGGACGTGGTCGTGGCGGTGCACGGGGACAAGCCGCAAGCCGACCGGACCATGGCGCTGAACCAATTCAAGAACGGATCGTGCTTGCTTTTGTTCGCCACTGACGTGGCATCCCGCGGTCTCCACGTCCACGACATCCACACCGTGATCAACTACGACTGTCCGGATTCCGAGGAAACGTACATCCATCGCATTGGACGGACAGGGAGAGCGGGCGCGACCGGCACGGCCATCTCGTACGTGACCGACAAGGACCGTCCGCTCGTCAAGAAGTTGCTGCGGGTGCTCAAAGAGGCTGACCAGGTGATTCCACCCGCCATTCAAGCGTGGTGTCGTGCAGTCCACCCATCGACCGAGGCCACAACCCCTGCTACCACCACCAGCAACAAACATCCACGCACCTCAAAAGTGGACCAAGGAATAAAGAAGGTAGCAGCCCACAAGAAGCACAACAAGAAGAAGACACCGCCGCAGCAACCCAAGGAAAAAAAGAAAAAGCAAGTCGTCGGCAAACGAAAGCAACGGCTGTGTCTGTAAATGTCCAACAAATAAATGTATGTATTGCCGCCCAAAATGCTGGTTTCGCTCTGGCATGTCATGGCACGAACAGTGACTATATTGTGGATGAGTTCAATCCTGTGATGTCAAAAGCAAGGGGGGAGGCTCAAGCGTTTCTGTATCATGTTGGGACGGAGCACTCTATCTATATATATATATCCCAGGTGACCGTCGAAAATACGTACCAGAGCAGGCGGCGACTCTGATGATCGGCTACGAGCGGCAAGCTATGATACGCGCCATCGCATCGGATCCAGCGATTCAACGAGATCGGCTATTGCGGTAGGCAGCCAGCGATAGTTGTTCACTCAGTCGCTCCTAATGATGACCTTATGTGCAGAGTGTACAAATGTCTGCGAGAATGCCGGTGCGCTCCACAGATCACCACACAAAGGTCGTTGAATCGAAGTCATGAGTTAGGGCGACCATAGACATTGCCGACGCAGTGGTCGTGCATCAAGGCGAGCTCGTGCATTGGTACTTCACGTCCAAAGACGGGGTAACTTAGTTACATCAAAACCATGCGATATAGTACACATACGCAACGATATGACACTACACTTGGAGATGAACGTGGGGCATATCATCATGATGGTAGGAAGTGCGGGAGAAGCAGCCGTACGCGTTGTCGCTGTTGGAGCTCAAGAAGGTGTTTGTCAAGCAAGGGCTGCAGCAAACGTCAAATGTGGCCCGAACGTTGGCAGTGATGTTTCAGGTACAATATCCAATGATTCCACACCAACAAACTTCCATGGTTCTAGGCGTCAGCACATACTGTGTCCGAACGCATGATCATTCCATGTGGTTTTGCCATGTAGGAAGCGCACCATCAGCCCCAGCAGGACCAGCACACAACGTTTACGATGCTGCAAGACGTGCAATTCAACACGCACGTGTGCAACCCTAACTCACGCCTGTGGATGTCCACGTACCTCGTCACGCCGTACATTTGCGGCAAAGTACTTCACATTCTTCTTTTACTGGGATTGTGATGTTCCCCCCAACTAAATGACATATCATGTCGTAGTTTGGACCCAACCACGCGACGTACACTGGCAAATACTGTCGCCCCAGTGGTAACAAATCCACCGTCAAGTTCTTCAAGCCCGCGTCGTACTTTTTTGGCACCGACGAAGTGTATGAACTTACCCCCCTGACCCCCTCCCCTGCACACGAATATAGGGCTGACGATGCGTAGGGTGTCCGACAACGACGAAGGACGACACCTGACGCATTTGACCACCCTGCCCGTCGATTCAATCTATGCCAAAGAGCTCGGATCGGCCTACGACGATGCCCTCAAACACGACATCCTCAAACTTGTCCAGTATATTGAAGTACTTATTGTGTACTCATATGCAAATCAATGCAAGTGGAGAAAGCGCGTGTTGACAATTGTGGGTAGGCTGGCACGAGACATCAAATACTCCAACTATTTGCAGACTTTGTGCTCACCACCAGTTGTCGCTTGATCCTCGTCCGCGTTTCCAACGTACGAGGATTACCAAAGATATGTTTTTTAGACTCTTGTCCGAAATGGCGTTTTCTCGCTCTAATATACATAAATTTATATATATATATATATATATATATTCCTCCCCCGTGAACGATGATATCGTCCAAGTTTTTCCAATGATATGCTTCGTGTGAAGGTTGTATTTGACGGAGATCGACGGGGGGCTCCCGTATCGATGGCCCCGCCGCCGCCATCGATCCAAGCAAAACCCCGCCCCAAGTCGGCGCACCCGAGCACCCACCCCCATCACCATCACGGCCCCCCTTTTGAGGTGTCCCCTCGACTAGCTGCTTTCTTCACAAGTAACAATTGCATATATACTTAGCGACCCCAGGGCCATTGCCCTGGCCATTTTTGCATGGTTGCTGTCGCCACACGCCGCCACGTTCACTCTAGTCAAAACGTCATCTCACAAAAAGTAAACGCACGACTAGGACGTCAATACGTCTTCGACTAACTCCACGACTAGTCTATCCACGTGGCACAGCAAGAGTGTGCGTTTCTGGCCGCGGCCGCCGCCCACCCCGACGCCAACGAGCAACTTGCAAACGAAGTCTGCCATCTTGTCGACATGGCGACCTTTCGCAATACGATTCCCAATCTACGCGGCGTCGATGCCCTCATCCAGATGCGCAACCGGCTGTTGAAGGAGCTCCATTGGTTTGATCAGCAAGGTTAGTCCAGTGCTTGGAATGTGACACGCTATAGACATCTTCATATATCTTCGTTGATAGCACAAGATGTGGCGGCCGCAACCAAGCGTGTACCTGCCTTTTACGATACGGTACCGCTTAGTTGGTTGAACTTTAGTAAATGAGAAAGCCGCCGTTTCCTTCCACATACAAAAGGGCTAAGATATGATGGCGACGTTGGTAGATTCACGTATGTGCGTTGTGCTACATCATGTACCAGAGACTGGATGAAGCAAGAAGGGGGTGTACTGAGACTATCTCCAAAACGGCATCGCATTCCCTCTCGACTTCAGCGTTGTCGGCGAAATCTGGACGGCCAAAGTCTGCCGCGACGTCGTCATCTCGATTGCGTCAGTTGGCCCAACCCAAGACGAAAGCCACTGTCCGTCATCGTGTCCATAACAACACATTGTCGTTCAACGAAGACAAGGCAACCACCACCCCCACCATTATCGACCAAGGCGACCGCACCGCCCTTTCAACCTCCAGCATCGCCGCACCTCCTCCACTAGCCAAGTGCTTGCGAGGATCGTTAGCCCTAGCAAGTCGAGATGCGCCGGTGCTGTCGAAATCACTGGCTCTGTCGGCCTCGCTCGCTGACCTGAGACCTATTGTGCCTCGACGCAAACTGTAATCATACGAAAGACTCTTGTACAGAATACTATGTATTGAAAACGTTAAATACAAATGTTGGAAAGGCAAACTGTACGATGGGCTGTAGTAAGTAACGTTAGGGGGGATCCACGGTGGAGGAGAAGCTGTAACCAGCCATTTAGGGAGTATATTCCGTAAATAACGTGAGCCAGGAAATGGATGCACGAGGTTAGAGATCCAACCGCTCCATGCGGCGGATGTCTGCTGCCACGTACACACGTGCGCGGGAGGGCCACATGGTTATCGAAGGTAGCACGTCTTCGTCTTTTCGTTTGAAGAGCAAGCATAAGCTGACCAAGGCGAACAGAATCTATACACGTGTACAAATGTGAATATGCATAAGTACATCGATCGGATGTATTCTGGGGAGTCGAAAGGGGGGATGACTCCACACATCAACTTACAGGAAGACATGTCATCGCCATCACTGCAATCGATACCGTGCTCATCTATCGCAAGCCAGCTTGAATAGGAGGTTCTGGAAATACAAGCCCCAAGGCACGGCTCTGTGCTCCTACCGTGGCGGCAAAGTATTGGTGAAATGCTTTGGCGCAGCTACGACATTGTTAGTTGTAATCACAATCCACAACTTGTCAACGAACTGTAGACGAGCTAGCTTACCCCATCGAGTTGCCCGCCACGCCGACCAACCCACAGCTCCCCATGGGGTAGTCGTACGCACAGCTGCCGCCCTTGTAGCACAGCGGAGTAGGTGGGTAATATCCCCTCTGTTGCTTTCCCAATGAGCGATGAAAAGGTTGACGAAATCGCAGTACCTTTGACGCACACACGCGTCGAATCGTGGCGTCTGTGGCGGGAAAATTGCTCGGAAATGGCCGATCGTCCGGCTGGCAATGTTCTGGCGGGCCGAGACCGCAACACACACTGGCATCTTGCAACAACGTGACCATCTAGCCGTGTTTTTTGTGGTTTTTTGATGACGTGGCTATCGCAGAGAGCTGCATACATTGGACGCCGTTTGAGTGATCAGGGTTTCGTTAAAATAGGTTTGCCACGCCAATGTCAATCCAGCGTACTCGTCGCTCTAGCATCACAGGACACTGAGCCAAGAGTTGGTTTATCTATGATTGCCAAGAGCGCCAAACCTGAAAGTATGCGTGACACGCCGTCTCCAGGGTAGCATTGCGCAGATAGGCCTACTCAACCCAAACCAACTAAGGGCTTGCGTTGGAAGGCTATTGGGGACGTACGTTGCCCAAACACGTCTCGGCAAAGTCGTACGAATACGTCGGGAATGTTGAAGCATACGTGGCACCGCCAATGATCAGCTGGAGCGCCGCAATGCCACTGAGAAGGGCAATGTGCTACTAGTACCGAACAACTCGGTCACAAATGTATAAACAGATTCGTGTGCTGATGCTACCGTTGTCCATGCATACATACCACCAGCAACATAAACTTGTTGTGGTGCTTGGATGCGTAGAATGCAAACCACGCTGGAACCGGGTACAACAACGCTAAGAAGAGGCAGCCTGCAGTCTCGTTAGAAGGGATGATGCACAGTAGTTTAGTTAGATATATGACGTGGCAGTGCGACAGCAACTCACCGCCCCCGGCGCTGCCAACGGGAGGTCCAAGGGCCATGCGATAGTGCGTCGAGCACATGAGTGATATGCCAATGACAAACAGTATGAACGCCAACACCTACAAATAGGGCCAATATGATCTCTGGCCAAAGCAACACTGCATCATGAACTATACTAGTACAGTATATCTGTACCAGTTCCAAGGCGCCGCTGGTATGCACAGCCACAAGTAGGTACTCTTTGCTAAAGAGCATCCCTGGCACGGCTTGCTAGCGCGCGCAACGCAGGTATCAAGCGGTAAGTAAATGCAGAATGGTGGGCTATATATAACCTTTGTAGCACACGATTCTTAACATTTAAGTTACTGGAAGCTCAACCACGAAGCTCAACGCATCAAGTACGAGCCCCTCACTGCATATGACAGCGCCACAAAGAGTGAAAGGGCGTCGATAATGTAGTGTACAAAAGGGAAGGGGCCCGTAAAAGTAGTGATGATCACTCTCGAAATGTCCCTGCTACAGTAACACGGGACGGCTACACATTAGAGGAGACAAGATACATGCTAGCAAACCTTCGTCAAGATAAGCAACATGTTACCCTGTGTTCACACACGAGTACAAGGAATCCTAGCAATGCAGAAACCTAAAGGTGATGCACTCTCTGTCAGCTAGTGCTCCTTAGTGCTCTGCTGCCCTGTGCACGGTAGTTGGAGTGTCGATTCGGAACCCACTCTTTATTACAATATCACTTTCGTTAATCGGTCGACGCAGCCGCAGCAGCAGCACCTGGGGGGCCATCGTCCCGAAAAAAGACGGTGGCGGCAGCAGCGGTAGAGGCGACGGGGACGGCAGAAAGAGAAATTGATCAACAATTGATGTCTGTTGGCAACCTCTTACACTCGGGAAGGGTACAACATGACGCGCACGGGCTTGCCCATGGCGTTGGCGGGGAGGTTCTTGCGGAACTTAGCGCGGACAACGCCGTTCTGGCCGTGGGCGCGGGTGACCTTGCCCCAGATGACGCGGAACTTGGAGTCGTTCTTCAACGCCTTGGCCTTGTAGATGTACGCGATGCGCTTGCCGAGGTAGAAGTCGACGTCCTTGCGGTCTTGCAGACCTTGGATTTGCACCAACGACGTGTGCGCGTGTTGGTTGGTGAAGCCACGCTTGTAGCCCATAAAGACACCCTTCACATACAAACGGGTTGGTTGACCTTCCGAAGCGACCATGTTTCTCTACACAAACACAGTGTCATGTTCCTGGCTGCATGTGGCATCATCTTCACAGGTCACATCCGACGTACCTACTGCTGAATCAATTGAGTGAGTGATACTGAGCGCTGCGGCAGTTGAAATTGGTTGGAGCCTTTTGACTGGTTCCAGACCAATCGCTTCCACGACCATCCAAAACGCATATTCCCTCTCACAATGCATATTCGGATTTTTTAAATTTCGCAAGGTCAATACAACTATCAAGTCAATTTAATTCTCCGGGGTGATTCAAGTGTATCCGGATAAAGTATCCGGGGTTCGCAGGCCCCGGATTTCCGCATTTCACACGATGTCTTTGTCCAAAGAAAGTGACCAATGATGGAACTTGTGTGCGTTAGGTATAGCACGAAGCATTTCCTTGGGCTCACGATATGTATGATAACATAGGGAAGGTTTGCCATAGATGGACCTTACTGGATCCCAAGTTTGCTCCTCAAAGCTCACACTGAGATCATGCAGAATGAATGCTGCCTTCTGATTGGCCCTAGTTCAACCAATCAGCGACGTAATTTCATTGCCTTTTCACAAAACACCAAATGCGGCCGACGATTGCACTTCGGGCTGCTTTGACGAAGCATGCGATCGACGGGTGGAAGGCCGAGACATTTGCCGCCGACCCCGCACGCACAGCGGCGTGGAAGAAGCACGACGAAAAACTGCACCAGTTCCTCAAGGCCTCTGTGCCAGAAGCCTTGGCCCACACTGGCGGTATTTTACAAAACCCACCCCATCCTCGGCATATTCCTTGATGGACACTGTGTTGCAGACGCAGCGTTTGACGAACACTTGATTGGCGTGCAGTCGGTTCTACGCACGTTTGGCGCCGACGAGGACGTGTGCACTGCTGGTCTGTTTCACTCCCTGTACGGCACTGAGGGATTCCAAGGATTCAAGCTGCCCATCCTTCGTCGACCCGAGATCCGGCAGCTAATCGGCCCCCGCGCCGAGCGTCTGGTGTGGCAGTTCTGCGTCGTGGATCGAAAGGTGTTTGATGACGCAGTGTTGCTTCGTTCAGACTCGACCTGCCACTTGCCGCCGCAGTTGATCGCGCGACCAGAGCTCGGTCGGTTCCCGCTACCGGTGGCGTCTTCGACCGCCGACTGGCTCGACTTTGTCGAGTTGGTGCTGGCAGACTGGATGGACCAAGTGGCCGGGGCTGCGGAGAAGGCCAACCCGCTCTTTTTGTGGCAACAAGGGGACGCCTGGAGCTACCGACGGCTGGCGTACGCGAAGATGGCGGCCGTGCTGGCCACCCATCGAAATGAGGACGGTCGAGGAGCGCATATTCAACGCATTGTACAGGACGTGTATGCATCAGAACCCGTGCCCACGAGAGGACTGGTGCAGCAAGTGACCCCGCCTATGAGCGACGCGGACAAAGATGCCCGCGATGCGCTGCGATCGGTCGATCTGTAGCCATCCATTAATATTAGCTATATTTGACGGTATTCTTACGGCAATACGGGCTAGAGGCATTCGCATCGATGGATGAAAGGCAGCACGCAAGACGTACAGTAGTACCTTGGGATATACTCTATCCGTTGGTGAAAGTTCCAACTTGCGTAGTGAGGTTGGTCCTTTCTTGTGGACAAATTGTCGTTGATTGCTTTGGGAGACAATGGTACATGATTTGGTGTTGGGATTGTAAACGTACTAAGCAGCACTGGTATATATTCACTTTGTGGGGGGGATGGATGCTTCCGCTGCGATAGTTCTCGTACGTTTTGCATTGGTAGTCTGTCCGTGGCACCCCTAGCACACAACGTGCTGCTCGAATAGATCCGCCATGACACCAATATCCACTTGTTGTGCTCAGATATCTCTCATCAATTTCTCAAAGCGGCGTTGAACCATCGCAGGTTGTTAACGCACTGGACACCATACACATAAAACTACATAACTGTCGCTTATAAAGTTGCTGTGGAATGGCCACACAACGATTCTAGTTGCGCTCAGAGTAGTCATGCCAGTGTACTGATGTGTCTAGTACATTGATTTCTAAATCGCTAATTAAAACCCTGCGAAGAGGGCATTTTCAGCTGACGTGAGGCTCTCAGCGCTGTCCGGAGCGGTGCTTGACGAGATGATATCTCGTAGTAGCCCCATCTCGGCCGTGGAGCATGCCACCACAAGGTCCTACATCGTCACAGAATCGATCGCATCCTGAGTCCTCTCTCAACCACTACAAATCAACAAATAGTACTACAATCATCACGAACCTCCCAATTTACGTCGCAAAACCACGGATGTCGTTGGACAGCGACACCCGTGAGTCTAGCCGATGGATCCACGCACAGCAGCTGGCTACACATGAACAACACACTGTAGACTTACACACCCAATCGCAAAGTGTTTCAACGGCTCGAGTGAAATGGGGCCGGCTAAGAGCTAGATGATTCGATCGAACTAAGTTCGTACGAAAGCAAGTCGCGAACGTGGGGGTTGGCAAAGTGGGAATGGCTTGGAAACTCGAGTGGTTGCTCCAACGTAGCGGCATAGCGCACCAATTCGCCGTCTTCGCATTTGTACGGCCATGGAGGCGAGCCATGGAGCAGCTCAAATACAAATACGCCCAGGGCCCTAAAAGCCAATCATATCATAAAGCCAACACATTCGTCAACCAGCTCCTCTGTGGGGTGATGATCATTGCAATGCTGTTCGTACCACCAATCCACGGCAACAGTGTAGTAGTTGTCACGCTGCTGGTGGCTACAGCGGTACACTTCTGGTGCCATCGCATAATGCGTGCCCACAAACGACATAGCGCGTCCATCTAGGGTGCCGTCATCTCGGACTAATGGCTTCGCAAACCCAAAGTCGATCAAGTGGCAACGACCGGTCGCTGGGTCCAAGAGCACATTGCCCGTCTTAACATCGCGATGCATGAAGCCGCGCCCGTGCAAGTCCAGCAATGCGACAACGACTTGGGCAGCGCACTGCTTGGCAAATGCTTCGGGGAAGCCACGTTGATGGCGCCACAGCGACTTATACACTGGCTCGCCGGGAAGGACGTCCATGACAAGGTATGTGGAGTCGTCGACGTCGAACGATCGCTGCAGGATGCGACCAAGGGCAGCCTTCTCCGCATCTAGCCGCTTAATGCGGCTCGGAGAATTTCGCACGACTTGCTTGACAGCTACAATGCAACAACCTAGGTAAGGGTTGGCCTGGGTTGAAACGATGCATGTACCCACGGTTTGTCCTGTCAGGTTGTCCTTGCACAAGTACACGCTAGATCGATCGCAGTTAGTTTTTTTTAGCTTCAATGTTTGGTTGCTGGTACCGGCCAACGCCACCTTTGCCCAACAACTGCAGCTTCTCGATGGACTCCATGATTTTTCGATTTTTCTCCTTGTCACTCACGACTGACATGATAAGCTCAAAGATTACCTGCAACAATGTATGCCCTTTGTAATACTATATTTGAAGGCAATTTGTGTGAATCCATCGACATACTATTAATAGTACTGTACTTCGAAATACTACGTACTAGTAGTACCTACTACAATTAATACTAGTACGATGAGTTATCGATCGAACTTGACTGTGAAAAATGGCATTCAAATTGGCAAAATATTCAATCACCCGCCAGAGAATCAAATCTTAACTTTAAACTTCCCCATCTCGCCCACTTGTTCATGTGGTTGTTGTAATGCCCTTGAAGCCCTACCAATGCTCTCTCGCTTCTATGATGCTGTATTTATTATCAAACATGCTCAAAAGATACCATACGCCATACGTAACCGTAGCACCTTCGGAAGGCGTCTGTCGACGACGAAATCGCACCTGAGGCTAAACGATGCCTAGTCCTAGCCTTTTGAACAAGCTACGCCACTATATTCCGCGAATGGCGGTGTGGGCAAGCCTTTAACTTCCGAGTTGCTTGTTGTTGTGGTTGATGTCACTTGATATGTTTCAGTACAAATATGCTTTAACGTTAACGTTCGAATCTCATTGTCCGGATAGACTTCATCTGGACATTTATTAACGAAGAATAAACATTTTTATTGAATTGAATGTCCGGATAATATTGCGCTTTCGAGAGAAATTTTGGATTTTGGCGTGAATTCCTAAAAAACCACGCGTCGATTTGATTGGCGCTTTCAAAATTGCCACGATTTGTTTGGGTCACACGACAGAAAGGACATTTCCACGACAAAGCAGACGCACACGAAGCGGCAAGACGACGATGAGGCACCATCGAGTCGGCAGTCTCACAGCATGCAAGTCTGAACACAGTCATGCACTATCTGTACGGTTACTTCTCCCTGGGGACGAAGCGTCGACAGCTTGCTGCTGTGTACTGAAAGAGCAAGCAAACAATTTCGAACTGGACCATCAAGTACGATGCAACCGGTTGCTACTCGCGCAAAATGTCCGTGGTCGCCTTGCGAGTGTGAGGTTGGGACGTCTGCGACGATCGCGTGCTCCAGGCTGGACTGTCGTCTGCGGTCATGGATCGTCGAATGCTGGTTGAAGAATAGCGCGCAATGGACGTTCCATAGTTCGATAGTATAAATTCTTTAGCCAATCACACTGTGCTTTCGTAAATTTGAGCCAATCAGACTCGTTTACAAGCCGCGTGATACGATAGTGCCCCCACCCAAAATTTGTATCAAACCGACAATAATTGGGCAAAACTTGGGATGTGATCCAGACCCACCCTTTCTCCGTGAAATGTGCGTCGAATATCGTTCAACACACTACGGTACAGTAGTAATGTTGCTGTAGAGTAGTCACCCAAACAACCTACAACAACGAGGATTGTCCTTGGAGGAAGACTAACAGTGAATTTCGTATTGATTTACACTTTGTTAAGTGGTATTCTACTTTTCGAAGTAGTTTGTCCCAATACAAATTTGAAGTGCTATTTCGCGGTACCACAGGGCCACTTATTCCGTCGTCATCTGTACTGTACTGTACTAGTTTCATCACACGCTACAGTACCATATGAAGTCTTCCTCCACGAACATTCCAGGCAGACGGGCTGTTGGTCGCACGACAGATATGTAACGTTAACGTTAGTTTCGTGGGGTGCCGAATTATCGACCAATCAATACGCAGAACAATGTTCAAGTGGCCATTCAAACTCTTTCCTGCAACCATCGAATATTTGTGTGTGACTTACAGTTAACTGTAAATGAGTGTGAAGCGCTTCACTGGTGGACTTTTTTTACAAACAAATAAAGCAACCCACGAAAACACCGAAACCAAATCTTGGCTGAAAGGACAATATCCATGTCCAACCTCGCGGGCATATCACCATTCACTTCTTGTCTTTAACGTTATTAGCTGACAACAGGTTCGTCATTACAATGTAAATCATTAGTCTTCCAAATGTCATCCTAGTATTGGTTCAACCGCCGTACAATCGCCGGACCTTCGAAATTTCAGTTTAAGAGGTATCTTTGTGTTTGCATTGCATCAATGAACCTTTTTAGCCAATCATATTGCAATCTTCATTCTTTGTAGCCAATCATACTCCTTTGTTTGATTTTCATCAATCCCCCAAAATAGGCAAATTTGACTGAAAAGCACAATACTGCATGTATCACGCATTAATATCCGACCCCCGAGATACAAGGTCTTGACGAGTTAGTGTACGCGACTTGGTAATTGTGGCAGCCAAGTCGAGTGTATGTGTCTACCCTACAGCCGGCCCAATCGCATGTGGTGCACTTGCTCCGAGTTGAGGGGCTGCAGAGCCGACTTGTGCAGTTGTTGCGTTTCCGTTGCCTTCAACACTTGCACGGCTTTATACTTTTGATACAGCAGCACCACTTGGCGACCCATAAGTCCCACGAGCACGAGCACTTGAATGGCCACAATCACGGCAGACACGCCGTCGTGGAACGACGACGATAGCCCCGCCACGGTGGACACCAAGAAGATGGACAGCACCAGCGTGAGGATCTTCAATACTGTGAGCCCCGCCATCGAGTGCTGCATGAACGGGGTCTGGAATGGCTGGCAGCGCTCCAAATGCACGAGAAACAAGATGTGAAACCCCAGGACCAGCACGACTTGGGCGGCATGGCTAAGGAACGCGGCCCCCGTTGTCATGCCACAGAGCAACGCCAGAAGCATCTTGGGTGCAAAGAAGAACCGATTCTCAAACGTGTACTCGTCGTAGAGCGCGCCATACCGCCTCGCAACTGGTTTCTTGGTGTGTGCGACGATGTCGTCAACGTCGACCAACTCGGCTTCGTGTTTGCGGACAATGTAAATGCCAAACACGAGGATCCCCACGGCGAGGAAGAGCAGCGACGCTAGCGCTAAGTAGAACGAGTACATGTACGTGTTGGTGGTGATGCTGAGGTACACTTGGTAGGTGGCGGTGACCCCGATCGCATACTGCGACGCCAACCCCAGCACGACCATGGCCCCCACGAGGTGATGGAACCAGTCGGCGGCGTAGCCCTTGGCGGGGGCCACGATGGTGGCCACCCCCGCCGCCAGCCCGTACATGACACACATGGCGGCGCCGACCACTACGATCCCCACCAACGTTGTCACAAACAAGTTGAATTTGGAAATGCCAAGTGTGACCGCATAGTCGCAGATGCCATCGGCGCACGTTTCGTCCGCCAACGCCCGACGGTAGCTCGAGGATGGAGGAGGTCCTGGGCCAACTTCGACAAAGTTGAACACGGCGTACTTCATGGACGACCCGAGACTCGCGAGCGCCGCCGACTTTTCACGCAGCGGCAGTTGGTTCAGCAACGACCCAAACTGGACAATGTCTAGAGTCACAAGGATCGTCGACGACGCGGCTACGGCGGACGACGCGGCCACCGCACCCGATGACGTGGCACCCAGAACCGTACTCGACACGACCGCGACCGCCGTGACGGCGACCGACGCGGTGGCGGTGGACTGCGAGATCTGCGCCATCCGGGGCAGCGGAGTCGACGGGTCGAAGTGCCCCGGGGTGTGCTTGTCGTTGAACGACGGACGGTCGGAAGTTCGATTTGGCATGTATGTGGTGGCGGTGGTGGTTGTGGTGCCATTGTCATTGGTGGTGGTAGTAGTAGTCGTGCCATTAGTCTCTGTTGGCAGCCACGAACTATTGGAGACTGGAAGCGCAGCACACGAGCAGTCCTGCGCCAAGAAGTTGTTGACGGGGTACGCGTTGGAACAAGAGCCGTTTGCAAACGCCGCGGGGCGGAAAGATGCCCCAGAGAGGGGAACCAACAGCGACACGTCGACGGTGGCGTACACGGCCGAGAGGAAGGCAGGGGGCGTTGGCGATGTGGTGATGATACTGTTGGTGGTGGAGGTCGGGATGTTGGCAACTGTCGAGAACGTCCACCCGTTGGTGCCGTCGCAAGACGGAAATGCGCAGAGAGCGCGGCAAGTCGAGATGTCCGTGTACGCCACGCACGACGCCGCGTCCACGGCGAGGTTAATGTCCAACGGACTGCCGTTGCACGTGATGTTGTGGGTGTGCCACTTGGAGTAGAATTGCTCGTCGCACACCATGTCGGTGGTAGTCCGCGCCGGTGGGGGCTGCGTGATGATGGACGTCGACGACGAGTTGGTCGTGGGGGTAGGGGAATGTGTGGTCGAAATGGAGGTCGCGGGTGGCGAGGCAGTCGTGGTCACGGGGGAGATGGTGGTTGTCGACGTGGTTGGCTGGGTGGGTGGAGGAGGCAACGACGAAGTTGTAATGGTTGGAACAGGTGAAGTGGCTTTGGTGGTAGTAGGAGCCAACGTCGATTTGACAGGGGTCGTGGAGGGCAAGGCATCATCAACGGCAAGCTGGCGATGGGCAACTGGCGATGACGTTGTGACTGAAGCCACGGTGGTCGTAGTCGGTACTGTCGATGAAGCGGGAGCGGTGGTGGTATTTTCTGGTAGTGTACTGACAGTAGCATTCGTGGGAACCTTAGTTGTCGGCACAGACGTTGTGGTGTAGTTGGTTACGGGCAACAATGTTTCGATGGCGCCTGACGTGGGAACCGGTACGTAGAGTTGGGACGTGGTAGGCACTGGCGTGCGCTGTGCCGTGGGTTGTGGTGGGGTCGTAGCAACGCGGCAGACCCGCGCCCCTTGGATTGCGGACGCACATAGCAGAGCTGCCGCGATGAAGGTGTTGGTACTTGGCCCCCTCATCGTATTGAGAACAGTCAAGTCGTAGTGAATTTAGGAATCGCATGTGGGATTGTTGGGTGCAGAGGACTGACGGTCGTAACGTTGTGTGAAACTGGTGAGTTGCGCTACAATATAAAATGAGACAGGTAATAGAAATGTACACATTCAATTGAAAAGGTTTTGGTAGGGTCGTCATTCCGGATTGGATAAAAACCAGGTGATATTCAACTTGTTGGATGCAAAATACAAGCATATTTTCTGATTGGATGAAATGACACGATATGTCTCCCGTATAAATAATAAAGTGGAGCTGCACTTCATCATTACCATAACCTGAGCTTCGCTGTGCAACATGATTTGCAAATGGCGCATACCCGGTATGGGTCCGTCGTGCAATCAATAATGTATGCATACATCCGTTTTCACGTTGAACAAGGCGTAATACAGTAATGACACGACAACTATGAATAAGATACTAGAAATATCAGCCAATGATCTAACGGCACATACTGTACAGTAATGCAACACATTTCAGCAAGGTGTTAAGTGCATTTCAGAAGCTAGCGATGGCTTACCACTGGGATGCAACTTACAGTTAACCCCAGAAATAGCTTTAAATGCACCTGCATGTGCCCACCGGGGTTAGGACAGAGTCTCTGGTTACAGGGCTACTGTACGGGTCTTTTATAATACTTTGAAGAAATCACCTCCCTATAATTACATTCTGTAACGAAACGTGATCCTAAATCACGGTACGGATGATCTAAAACACTGGGGTCGATGTAACAAACACCCAGGTTTATGGTGTGAATAGCCAAAACGAGTGAAAAGCACAATATTAATATGTCCTGTATCTTACAGTATATGTGCTCAGAACTGGGTTGTCCGGACGATTATCCGTTAAATCAATAACGTTACCTAGTACTACGTAGTACTCCGAGTATATCCCAAGAACAGGTAGTTTTCGACCAACAGGTACTGCTGCCGGGGAATTCCTCACTACTACTAGTAGTACGGAAGTGATTGATAGGCTTACCACTTACGTACTTCGAAATATTATACCTTTACAAAAGGAAAAAAACATGTTGGTACTTTGTCCCGTACTATGTCTTAAATATTCGATACCTTTACAAAAGGATAAAAATTGTACCTACAGTTAAGACTTACGGGACAACATTTAATATTAATACTACGTAGTATGGTGCACGTCATCTATAAACTACCAACTTTTCACAAGATGAATTGGTCCAGAAATAGATATTTAACCTAGCGGTATTTTACATTGGCGCTTGGATATTTGGCCATAGGGGTGGCCGCTGAGATGTATCTTGATTTTTGTATGTGACTCTTATCCGGAGGCAGTTGGAACCTTTAACCTCCCATCGCAGTGATAAAACGCATGATATCGGTATTTAACGTATTTGGGTTTTGGGTTTAACTACATTAATTGTACGTTAAATAATAAAACCTCCACTCTTCGATTTGGCCAGTTGGAACCATACCAACCTTGGTACTACAATACTACTCCGGAGTAGTAAATTTAATATAATGTAATTATTGAAATTGCAGCGAGGATGGCAATTTTACTCGGGAGTATATAATATGAAATATTATACTGATGACAGTTGAATATGGAAAAATTCAACTGACATCCAGACAACTTTGTAGATACTTCGAAGTACTACTCCGGTCCGAACAAATGTATCGACTTTTTTACCTTGATTAAAGTATGGGCGGCTGGAAAAAATGTCTTGATGTTTGTATTGAACCTTCAAAGAACATACTTGATGGCAAAAATTTAATGACTTTTTATTATATTATGGCAAGTACTCGGATTTGGGAATTCATTTTAGCTGCTCAGGTGAGCAAGAGCTTTTTCATGGACGACAGGATCACACCGGAGATTAAACGATGTCAAGTCCTTGATTGTAGCATCTTTCCTCATATGAGGAAGCTCATAATCATTTCTACCCAAAGCACTAAGTGTCAACTCCATTACCTTTTGCAAAGTAATGAAATTTTTCGATAATGAATCACGAGGCAACTCATCAAATGAGCTTTCTACTGCACCAATAAGTTCCTCAATTGTTCGAGTACACTTCTGGCTTTGTAGACTTTGAATCGAATTAAAGTATCCTAAATCCAAGACATTAAAGTCTGGACTATTAGGAGGTTGATTCGCAGCCTCGATGCCATTAACACCAGATTGAAGCAGCATTTGCGTCGTCACACTATTATGTGGACTCGCATTATCTTGCTGCAAATATATTATATTAGTCTGATCCTGTCGAGGCATCTTTGCTTTGATTGCTGGAACGACCTTGCCGCCATAACTTTTGAGAAAAAAGGTCTTAGTTTACTCGGAAATCATCCAATCAAAGTCGAGATTTCGCGCTTTCTGGTGAGCCAATTAGATTCATTATTAGCACAAAATTAGAAAAATTCCGCCAATGACGAAAGAAGTCGATACATTTGTTCGGACCGGAGTAGTACTTCTTTCTCCTTTTGAATTATAGCGTGGATGACATTTGGATGATTGGACGAAGTTGGATGGAACCTACAGTGGCCGAGCCTTCCGTTGGCCTCGAGCGCCCGGGAGGCCGTCAGCTCTAGCGCGGCCGTACCGGTACGAGAGCGCGGATCTAAGCCTCTAACTTCACCGAATGATCTATCTTTTCTTCTTTTCGGGCAGCGGCAGGTAGGCCGTAGGCCGTGCCGCTCCTGGACGAGGCCTTTATGCAACGACCTAGCGTTACCCAAATTTTCTCTAATCTCTACTAATTAGGATATGACCTAATGTTAATGTTGGATGACGTTAGGATGCTGTTGAATGACTGATACTATCACGGGTTTTAGAAATACATTTTATAATTTCTGCACCACATATCTTCATCTAAACCTCAGCACACATGGATAATTCGCAATTCAGATATACAGAGGAAACACAATGAAAATGATTATCATGCCTGACACTTTCGTGTTTTTCCACACCAAACGGAAATCCAAAAAATTATCATATGGTACAAGTCATCTACTCCGGAGTAAAGACTACAGATGGGCCATCCTCAGGAGGAGACGTTTTACTATTAAACGCCTCGGTACTTTCAGTTAAACCCACGAAATGTTGACGTTAAATCATTATTAGTTACGTTTTTTACCTGGGTTAAACATTGTGAATAATCCGGATAGAATGAAAACGTTCGTACGGATAAGTGCTGAATTTAAAGACCAAGATATACTTGATACTCCTTTTCGGCCATAATGTACTCCGGAGTACCTGGTTCCATATATCTCCGTACAAAAAGGCCGGTTGGTTTAAATATTATTACTCGATCAATTTTTCACCAATCGAAAATCTGAACCGTAACTTTTGTTGGGCTTGTCCAGTTCTATCGTTATTACGGTATATTTTCCTAAATAATATCAATACAAAGTTGGAATAGCTGTCGAAAGTCGAAGCATTTATTTGTAGTCTTTAGGTGACTTGCACCATACAAACAAGAAGATAATCTTATACCAATTTGTAACTGGGAGACTGCCAAAACCACCGCAAACGCCCTTTCCGTAGTACCCGGTATTTCGCATCCGGATAAGGCTATATTTTAATCATGAGCCAAAACCTGGCAAAACTTAAACCCCGAAACCCCGGAGAAATGTTTGTACTACTGTATTAGTCCATTTCGCCTATATATTTCCTACGAATTTCAACTGATGTCCCGTAATTTCAAGGTTAAGAGTGAATCACGTTCCTAAGAGCATCCTCCACCGGTTGGGACTTACCGGTATGACCTGGCCTTATACGGATAATGTACGGATAAATGAGAGTCTTATGGTGATTCCAGCGATAAGTTTCATTTTCCCCACCTGTCAGACTTAAATGCGCGGGACGACGAGGGGCTGTGACAGTGATAATGAGTGCATTTACATCAACCGCGACCCGTCGCATTCCATCATAGACCGAATCGTTAACATTTACTTCGAAAGTATAGCTCAAGGGAGTAATACGAGCCTTCGATGAGGGGTCGCGTCGGAAACCAGCGGACCGACATCGCAAGGTTGTTGACCGGGCTCACGGGCAACGTTATGAAGGCCGGCGCGCATTTACCCCGAGCCAACAATCGTCGGCGGCGCCTTGTTGCCTGCAGGGCTCCCACCCGAAGCTCCCGAGCTGCCGCAAAGCGAACCACGATGGTCCGTTTCATGTCCCTAGCCACCACCACGTCGGCAATACTCACCTTCGTGACCTCCATCATCGCGACCGCCCTGTCCGCCTGCAGACCGGTCACCTCCACGGCCCATCGCAACGTCAGCCTTCGTTGGTCATCAGTGTGAATTGACAGCGTGTAAATGGGAATTTTTATAAAGGTTGCATGCTGTATTGTATTTGACTATGTTGAGTAGTACTTTTGTATATTATTTTTGATTATATTACTCTTCCGGATAGAATAAGTCAGGTACGAGAAAGTCGCTTGCTTTCGCATTACATGCTGCTCCGTGGAGCATTGTCGCGATGCCACTGGCAAACATAGAGAAAACAAGGTCGCCCATGGCAACTTGTTGGAAATACCTGTAAATGCGTCAATTCCTATTATCGCCGCACACATCGTAGAAGCCATACACCTGCAGCAGCGCATATACCTGTAGCAGCGTGTGGAAAACGCTGGACGACGGTGGTCGCGGTGCAGTCGTCTGGCGCGAGAAACTGGTCGTCCATCTTGCTGTCGCCGCCCGCTTGGTCCGGCAGCAGTACCACGAAAGGTGGACAAAATCGTCCGGATAAGCCCCAAATTATCCGTACTGTAACATGAAGTAACGGGTACAAACGAAGTTTTGAGATATAGAGTTGGGATAGGGACCCGCGTTGGAGATGGTCTAAGAGCATCTCCAACGCATCCCCAAATATGTCCGAACTCTAAATTGGGACATTAGATGGGACAAAATTTCCCCCACCGGATGTCCCTAAACCCAAATTTGGAGTTCGGACAACCAAAATGTCCCCAAATTTTCACACTATTGGGACATCCGAACTCCTTGTCCCAACAACGACTCTCCAATTTCAATGGAGAAGCTGAGCGTCGATTTGCAGCTTCAGCCGCCGCATATGACAAACACGAGTGAACCCACTCCAAGCAAGAAGCTAGGACGTGGAAAGGCATGGAAGGATGACGAAAGCGTCAACCTTGCACGATCCGTCGGGATGACAGGTTTTGACTCAATCCACGGAGCCGACCAGAAGGCAGCACCGTACTGGTCCAAGATTTACGTGGCGTTCGTAGAACTAAGCGGCAGTACCGATCGTACGGAGAAGGCAATTCGAAATCAGTGGGGCAAGATTCAGGCGCAGATCAATCTGTTTATTGGCGTGCATGCGACGATCGTCGCAGTGGAACGTAGTGGATGGGTGCCGGATGACTACATCAATGCTTCATTAGACCTGTACAAGCGCATGCACTAGGACGACTTTGAGTATGTCAATAGTTGGCATGGACTGAAACGGTATGGCGACAAGTGGCAGGTA